TTATTAAAAATTTATAAAAATTTATAAATATATAGTTAAATATCTTATAAATAACTTTACTTAATACTATTTTAATTTTTATAATAAAAAAATTTATAACAAAATTTTTTTACTTTTTCTTATATGTATTTTATATATATAAAAAGTGGTTGAAAATAGATAAAAAAAAATTTTTTTTTTTTAAAAATTTGATTTTTTAATATTAAAATTTTTTATAAAAATAAAAATAAATTTTATAAATATTTTTAACCATTTTTAATATTTTTTTTGGAGGGGTTTCCCAGTAAATAAACATTATTTTTTTATTTGATATTGTATATAACATGGTATACATTGTGAAATAAACAACATCTCTTGAATGCATTGCATACAACAAGTTAAATGCTAGCTTGCCTACTTCTACAATATATAACTAATATTGTAAAAAAATTCAAAATCAATATTAATGTACTAGATAAGACTAAGTAGCAGATATATCTACCATTCCAGGAAATTTTGTAAATTCTTTTGATTTTTTAAGTGTAAAAAATTGAAAATAAAAATAAAAGTAACTGTAACTAAAACTAAATCAAATATACTATAAAATCTATAAGTAGAAAACCAATTATTTTCTCTCAAAAATCCCAGACAGGCTCATTGTTCCATTTCTCCAGCTCATCAGTTACCATAGATAATAGAGTATATGTAACATTGTTTGTTGTTATAGTTGTTGGTAGTATATTAGTTGTTATTGTTGTTGTGATTGTTGTTGTGTTACAAAACCAGTTTAAGCTTGTTTGGGTTTTGTTTTGATCTTTAAGTGAAATCTGATTGGATAATTGAAAAGCACTGATCATCTTGAGGGAGTAAACTGATTTCAGTTTTTTATGTGAAAATTTTTTGAAAATTGAAAATGGCACAGCAAATATTGCTATGAAAATATTGTGTGTGTGGATTGACTTTAAACAAACAATAGATCCACTAACTCTGTTGGAATATAAGTTTTGAAAAGTGTTTGACTTAATGAGTATAATGGTGATTATGTATGTATATGGTTTTTATGATATAATAAGAGTAAGAGAGAATGCAAGAGAACTGAAAAAAAAAGAACTGTCACAGGCCTTTCTTCATGCAACCGAAGAATAAGCAAGACTCCCAAACTTGAATAGACTTTGACCAGAGGTCTCATTCCACTGCACTAGTTGTCTTGAAGGTTCTTGAGTTTCTGAGCTGGGGCTCACTTACAATAAAAAGTGTAAACTATTTTTTCTTGCTTAAAATTACTATAAAAAAATTTTTTAACAAAATGGATATAATCAGGAGAGAGTTTTTATTTTTAATATTTTTATATATTATTTTTTTAAATAAATTTATTAAATAAATTAAAAGTTATAATTTTTTTAAAAAAATTTTTATAATCTTAAAAAAAACTCTCACCCGTTTACCACTGATTTCTTGAAAATTTCCTTATATGATAATTTTCTTGAAAGAAGCGCTTTCCTCTCTCTCTTCAATATGCCAACTATGCCATAAGCTCAAGGACATAAGGACTTTAAAGACCACTGTTGCATTGGGATGGGACCTCTGGTCAAAGGCCAAACAAGTTTGGGAGTCTTGTTTGTTCTTTGGTTGTATGGGGAAAGGCCTGTGGCAATTCTCTTTCTTAACTTTGTCTTTATGCATCTCCTCCTTTATTACTTTCATGATAACCATTCTCCTCACCATCCTCCTTACCATTCTCAACATTGTCAATATTTTCCTAAAAGTATATTCAAGTAAAGTTTTGGGTTCTCCTACTTGTCTCAACCAAACCCTTCCAAACAACAATACAGTATGCTTTACTGTGCCACCTCAATGACTTTAAAAATTTTCTTAAAATCAAAAACCAAAACTAGCTCAACTCCTCCAAACGATCTACACAATCTCAACAGCCAATCCAATTCTGACACTCCAATTCAACAAGAACCAAACCGGTATTAACCTATTAGGAACGACAACAACAACAACATCACACAAAGACTCAACAAAAACTTACCAAATCAAGACTAAATTTCTGAAAATCTTCCATATTACTAAAAAAATATTCCCACCCACCCTAACATCATTGTTTTGAATAGGCATTAGCTATTCAATACTGCTAGCATTAACCTATCTACTTGGTGCAAGTTAAGTGTTAACAGAAAAAGTTGTAATAGGCTAGGATTAAATTACAATTTATTTTTTTTTGTAAAGATCTTTAATGTAATTGCTATAAACTCTTGTTTAATAAAAGTCTCACATTTAATGCTTATTTGTGATTTAATAAAAAAAAAAAAAAAACATAGTACAATTTTTTAAATTTTTATAAAAAAATGTAATATTTTAAAAACTGTTTTAGTTTATTATACAATGAAAATTTATTTGATTTAGATAAAATTTTATAAACTACTTGTTTATAATCTAAAAAGCAAGTTTGTTTAAGCTTATCTTATAAAATATCTTAATAAAATTTTTTCAAAATATTTTTTGAATATAAAATTTATTGATTTTTTTAATATAAAAATTTAATAAAAAAAATATTTTTAAAATGTAAAAAAATTCACATTTTTTTTTATTATATCATGAAAACTTATTTGTTTTATACAAAATTTAAAATTTATTTTCTTTAGATCTTTTAAAAACTTTTTGTTTAAACTTTTCTTATAAAGTATCTTAATAAAATTTTTTAAAAATATAATTATTTATAACAGTTCAAAAAAACTTTTTTCTAAATTTTTATGTATCATATAAAATCTTAAAAAATAAATATTTTTTAATAAAATTTATATAATTTTATTCTTGGGTTTTAAAATATATTTAAATAAAATTTTATAAAATTTTAATGATTTTTTTATTTAATTATAAGATAAAATCAAAAAAATTCCAAAAAATTATAAATCATACTATATGTTATCTTTATCATTATATTTGTTTTCCTTTAAATTACATCATTTTTATACTAATTAATTATACTAGAAAACAGAAGTATAATTGTTAAATCTGTCGTCAAAGTCTAGAAAGTGTTTGTTTCTATTATACCAAGATAATGCAACATTTCATGTGTTTCATGTGTTTTATTGTCAAAAAAGCAATCTTGCGTGGTATTAGTGTTAAAAAGTGACGGAATAATGTTTGTGTTACTATATACAGATGTAGAGATGGATTAACTGACGGTTTGAATAATTTAATGCGAAGGTGGATAGACGAACATTTTTTAGTCCTTCGCTATGCTCCGGGCTAATAACATTACTTTAAAATTTACTCAAATATTTTCAAAGTTCGGATTGTCGATTATTTTATTAGAACGCATTTTTTACTATAGGTGTATATCCTTTCTATAATCCTAATTTCTTCCGTAACTATAAATACTAGGATAGGAGCCCAGATTGTTAAGAATCGCAAAAGAAACATTCTTGCATAAAATTATTTATTATTACTTTGACCCGTATATATACATTAATTAAATTAAATCTCATCCGACCAAATAATTTCGAATACAAATATCTTTTGACATTATTATCGGCAAACTTTAGTATACAGTATATGCCGCAAACATTTGATAGAACTTATTTAATTATCTTTGAATATTTTTTTTCTTTTAATTTCAAATAATCTAAAGAATTATTCCAGGCATATCAAAGTTATTAATAGTTGGAGTGTAAAATTAGAGAAACATTCTATTGGTTCAACGAAAAAATTGTAGAGCTTTTTTAGGGAGAAGTATTACGAATTTTTGAAATATGAAAAAATTTTTTTCGAATAGCAGTACATATCGGTTTCTTGTGTAAACATCAAGTAATTTTTGCTATTGTGTGATATTCTGATAACAGTTAAATTGTGAGGATAGAAAATCTGATTTATGATTTGGTGATAGCGTTTAATTATAACGATTGGTATTATAATGAGGATAATAACGTAATGATACATTTAGTAAACAAAATGCGTAGTGGCAAATTAAATATGACGAATATTCCTAAAATGGTGATGGATAGAAATGTTGTTGGGCCACATTTTTGTTAACATATCGTAATAAAGGAAATTTATTGGTGTGGTTAAATATAATCGAACATTATAATTCGATTTTATGAAGAAAATAATTATTTTAAGATTCCAAGTAAACCACCCAATAGCCATATTTGGAAAGTGGGAAAACGTATAAATACAATAGGGTGGCTTCTTCCAAAACTTCAGTTTGTTGCTTAAGTCAAAGCACTAAAAACAGATAAAATCAAATTAGCAAATATAATAACAGCAAAAATGAGTGAACAATCCCAAACTAGCTTTATCTTCATTAACTCGAATGATCCAATGATGCCGAGTCAAGTTATTAACGACGCTCAGCCATTTATCAAGCTTCCATTCCCACCGGTGATCGATCCACGTGATTTGATTACTTTAAATCCCGATGGTCGTGAACCGTCTAGAGCACCAAATGCCTTCATTATCTACCGAAAATTGTTTATTAAAACTGCAAAAGATGAAGGATATTCTCTTCCTATGTCTATAATTTCTTCTATGGCTTCGAAATCTTGGGAACAAGAATCCGAAGTGGTTAAAAATGAATATAAAAGAATTGCAAAAGAAGCATACTTATATCGAAATGAGATCTGCCCTAAACCCAAACGTGAAAGAAAAAAGAAACAATGGAGTATTATTTCATTCTCTAAATCTTCTAATAAACCATCCGGAAATATTAAGTCCCCAAAGTCATTTAACGGAGATTTACAATCACCTGTACCAACCTTGTCTCCAACTCCCGAAAATAATACTACTTTTACCGAAATCGCTGATAATTCACCAATCTTAAATTTAGACTTATTTGCCGATTGGGAAAATTTTTTATATCCTAGCCCAGATTTATCAACATACACTGATAGTGAAATTAGCACCCCCGAAATCAATGAATATAATTTTAATCTTGAGATTAATTCTCCATTACAAGTTCTCGATAATTTTTATTCTCCAATCCTAACCGAGGAACAACAGTTTATTGATAACTTAATTAATTCACCAATCCAAACCGAACAACAATTTATCGATAGCTTAATTAATTCTCCGATACAAACTGAAGAACAATTACTTATCGATGCATTAGTTAATATTAAAGATGCACCCTTAACGACTATACTAGATAATCAACTTGGACTTGGAATTTCTAATACAGAGTACCTAAACATACCCGATATTTCTTCGCCGAATGATTTCTATAATAATCAATTAACTTCCTCTAATTTCTTGGATACCACATCCGCATTAATGGATTTCAATGATTCCTATTATTTCTAAGAAACATACGCTTTTATATAAATACACCAAAACATTAAAATATAAGATTACTATATGCCTCTTATGATTATAGCTTTAATAAGAAAATGCATGATCTAAGAAAAAATATGATCGATATGATTCAAGAAAAATCCTTAAGATCTATGAATATCATTTTTATTAATACTTTTTAATTGTTTTCGGTTGTAAATAATTAATAGAATTGGTTAATGTATATTATTATAATAGAATAGATGCTATATTTATTATTAATAAAATATTTTTGAAATATCCTAAATAATGCTCTCGTTCGTTCGTTTGTTTGTCAATTAAATTCTTAAATCATGAAAGTCATTTGATTTGGAATCATTATTATGTAAAAGCCCGACATAGCATAATGTCAACGAATAATGTAATCGAGTTACTGCAGAATTCAAAAAAATTTTATAATTTTTTTGAAAAGTTGTCATAAATAAATAAACAAACAAGCGAATATTTTTGTTTTATTTACCAAAAGTTGATCGTTAAACCTTTTAGATAAGAATTCACAAAATCGCCAAAATTTACAAGTTATAATATGCCAAATTTATTAATTTTAAATTAAATCAAAAATTGGATTTTGAATTATTAATTTTTATTATTCGCACACATAATTAAATAAAGATATAATAATAATAATAACCAATGTTGGTAAAGAATTGTTTAATTGGTAATTTTCACATACGGTATATTCGGTATATTGTTTATTCTATTATAGAATAATACATGAATATATTATTTAAAGTATAGATTATAATTTATATTAATCGTTATGCAATAGCTTATTATGAACTTTAAATTAAGATTTAAAATTCAATATTCTAAACTTTATTGTATATAGAAAAAAAAAACAAAATTTATATAATACAAATTTTAATTTATTATATATTTAAAATATAATAATATATACAGTATATAGCTCTTGTTAAAAGTTTTGTTTTTAATAAAAAACTTTTAATTTTTAAATATGACTAAATAATAAAATAATATTATTGTTTAGATTTTCAAAAGTTTTCATTTTTAAATTTTTTGATTTAAGTAAATTAAAAATTATTAAATTAATGATTTAAAGTAGAATAATGTTTTTGTTAAAACATATTAAAAAAATTATTTTAATTTATATATGTTAATTTTTTATTAATACAACATATTATTATTTATATAATAAATAAATTAACCATATAATATTATTATTAAAATATTTTAAAAATAATTTTCTGAATCTTGTTGAAAGAATATTTATATATATCTAAAATTTAAAATTTTATTCTTATAATAATTATTTAAATTTAATATTATAATGTCTTTAATTTTAACAATTTATAATTTTCATATTTATAATTTCATTATATTTATTTTGTAAAATTGAAATTTGGTATTATAGATATTATTTAAATTTTTGATATCTTTTTTCAATTGGATAGTATCTTTTACATGTTAATATAAATTATTATATAATTGTAAATCAATAAAAATATCAAAGATAAATTAATATGAATTTATTTTGCTGATAATATAATTTTAAGTGAATTAACTTAGCTGACTTTATTTAAAAAAAATTAAATAATTTAAATAATTTGTTTGTTTTATTTATTTGTCTTTTTGTTATATTATTTAAATTTATTTATTATTAAATTTATTATTTTGTTGTTTAAATTCCATTGATTATTTAATTTAATTTAAGTTTATTATTTAAATTTATTATTTTGTTATCTAAATTCCATTGATTATTTAATTTAATTTAAATTTATTATTTAAATTTATTTATTATTAAGTTTATTATTTTGTTATCTAAATTCCATTGATTATTTAATTTAATTTAAATTTATTATTTAAATTTATTTATTATTAAGTTTATTATTTTGTTATCTAAATTTCATTGATTATTTAAATTAAATTAAATTAATTATTTAACTTTATTTATTATTAAGTTTATTATTTTGTTATCTAAATTTCATTGATTATTTAAATTAAATTAAATTAATTATTTAACTTTATTTATTATTAAGTTTATGATTTTGTTATCTAAATTCCATTGATTATTTAAATTTACTTTATTTTATTATCTAAATTTATAAGTTTGTTGTCTAAATTAAATTAATTTGTCATTTAAAATTATTAATTGTTATTTATTATTTAAACTTGAAATCTAATCTCCGGTATTCAAGCCTCGCTATTTTTGACTTTATAATTCGACTTATAATTAACGATTTTTCGGACTATGATTTCCGAATTTTATATCTGCCGGCAAAATAATCCGGAAATATATAATAATTTCAGTACGGAAATTTCACTCGAAAACAATACAAATACAGCTGCAAGTATGCCAAGGAGAACGAAACAGCCACACAGTGGCGCATATTTAAATAATTAAGATTTTTCATGCATGCTGTTATCCAATAAACAAATCAAATCATTGTAATAAATAAATGTGTAATAGTCCTTAGATAAACAATGAATGGGTGTGGCGATTTCGTGGAACTTAAAAGTTGGCAAGTATCTCAGAAAGGAAACGAATATAAAAAAATTTTTTCTAAAACAAGGTTATGACGGTTGTAAGTAGGTCATAAAGCCACGTTTTTTTAAACAGTATTCTGGTGTTTGTGTATAATTTATAGGTAATTTTATGAGAATTCTTATTTTCATCCTAATTCCAAAGACACCATCCACCGGAAGGTAAGAAAAAAGTATAAATATAGCCAAGTGTAGCTTTCTTTTAAACCTCAGTTTCTACTTGAAAAAGTAAAAGCAAAAGAACTGGATTTTTTTAAAAAAAAAAAATGGATGAACAAATTCAAACTAGCTTCGTATTTATTAACTCTAATGATCCTACGATGCCGAGTCGAATTATTAACGATGCTCAACCATTTATCAAGCTTCCATTCCCACCAATTATCGATCCACGTGATTTAATTACTTTAAATCCCGATGGTCGTAAACCGTCCAGAGCACCAAATGCCTTCATTATCTACCGAAAATTGTTTATTAAAACTACAAAAGATGAAGGATATTCTTTTCCTATGTCTATAATTTCTTCTATGGCTTCGAAATCTTGGGAACAAGAATCTGAAGTGGTTAAAGATGAATATAAAAGAATTGCAAAAGAAGCGTTCTTATATCGTAGTGAGATCTGCCCTAAACCTAAACGAGAAAAAAAAAAGAAACAATGGAGTATTATTTCATTCTCTAAATCTGAAAATAAACCATCCGGAAATATTAAGTCCCCAAAGTCATTTAACGGAGATTTACAATCATCTGTACCAACCTTGTCTCTAACTCCCGAAAATAGTACTGCTTCTATCGAAATTTGTGATAATTCGCCGATCTTAAATTTAGACTTATTTGCCGATTGGGAAAATTTTTTATATCCTAGCCCAGATTTATCAACATACACTGATAGTGAAATTAGCTCCCCCGAAATTGATGAATATAATTTTAATGTAGAAATCAATTCAACTTTCGATAATTTTCATTCTCCAATTCTAACCGAGGAACGACAATTCATCGATAGCTTAATTAATTCACCAATCCAAACAGAAGAACAACAATTTATTAATAGCTTTAATAATTCGCCGACACAGACTGAAGAACAATTACTTATCGATGCCTTAGTTAATAATCAAATCGGACTAGGAATTTCCAATCCGGAATATCTAAACATACCCGACATTTCTTCGTCGAATGATTTCTATAATAATCAATCTAATTTCTTAGATACTACACCTACGTTAACAGATTTTAAAAACTCTTATTATTCCTAAGTCATACTTTTTTAGAGTCATTACTAATTAAGATTTAAGATCCCACTATGCTCCTATGGTCATTAATAAGAAAATATGATCTAGGAAACTATATGATTCATATGAATTAAAAAAAATCTTTATGACATATGAACATAATATTATGCCAATGTATATTGTTAATTGAATATTACACAGTGAATCTGGATATAACGAAGGGTCTGGTTTACTCTTTTTTCTTTGTTGTAGCAAGTTTTCGTTATATCCAGGGAATTTTATTAGAAAAATTTTAAAAATTTAAAAAAAAATTTAAAAATTTAAAAAATCTTAAAAAAAATTAAAAAAATTAAAAAAAAAAAAAAATACTTCATTATATCCAGGTATTCGTTATACCCAGACTTCGTTATATCCATGTTTACTGTGTATATTTATTATTAATAAAGCGCTTTAAAAAAATTGGTATAGTAGATTGTATGACTTTGATTGCATTGTCAATTGATTAAATGTCGGAAATACCATTACATTTTAGATTAGCGTAACAGAATTTATATACTGTAAGCATGTTAACAAATAATTTGATTTTGTTTCGTAATCCAAAAAATTCTTGACATTTTTATGAAGGAGGCTTTTCAAAAAAAATGATCTGAATAAAAGATGATTCTTCAAACATAATTTGATTTCGGAATATCAAAAGTTACTTAGAATTTCTTGAGTAAGAAATTAAGCCATTAAATATACAGTACATATTACTTTCTTTGATAATATATTTGTTATTTTATAAAATAAACAAAAATATTATTAATATGTAAAAATATAAAACATAAGCCCATGAGTCAATAACACAGTAGGTATTGCTCCTGGATTATTACATGAAGATTTCTAGTTTAATTCCATTAAAAGAATGAATTCTTCATATACAAGTTGACTGGTTTTCCTATGTATATTATAGCCAATTAGTCAGATCTATATCAAATTTAATTAATGAAATAAACAATAAGACCTTTGATTTTCTGTTAATCAAAAATTGAAACTAATGATTATATAAAAAACGATTGCATGAAAAAAGACTTGGTTTAATTTTAACAGATATCTTATAAAACTACTATAATATATTTTTATATTTTAGCCAATATAAAAAATTGATTAAAATAAAATAATTTTGAATTGACTTGTTAAAAATTAATTATTTCATATAAATTTTCTATAATAATATAATCAAATCTAAATTATAAATTAAGTAAT